GGAGCAGCGATTTCGTGATGTGTGTTTTTTATTGAGGCGGGTTCCCCCTCCGTGGTCACCCAGGTTTGGAAAAGTTGTCAGTGGTGTGGATCTCGGCTCAGCTCGCAACCTCTGCCTTCCCGGGCTCAAGCCACTCCTCCACCTCGAGCTCCTGCAGTACGCCCTAGACCCAGCAGGTGGTGCACCGGCAGCCAGTCAATTTTGTGTGATTTTCGGTAGGAATAGGGTTTTGCCAGGTTGCCAGGCTGGTCTAATGACTCCTGAGCTTAGGCAACCCACCACCTCGCCGCTCCAAAGTGTTGGGATTACAGGCTGAGGCCAAACCCGCCGCGCGGGCCTTCAATATTTCCAGTCGCTTAACACTTGACAGAGGAGAAAAGTGTCTGCACTGCAGAGGGGATTGAGAAACATTCCGGGTGAGGCTACAGTTGTAGCCCTGAGAGACCCACACTAAATGCTGCAGCCTTTTCCTTTTGCCCGCAACAGAAAGCTGGAAAGTGAAGGAAAAACAGTCACCCAACGGCCACTAATACATCACACATATTACAACTTAGCGATATTTTCCTTTCTCTTCTTATTTATTTATTTATTTTGTATTTATTGAGACGGAGTCTCTCTCTCCCAGGCTGGATGTAGTGGTGTGACTCTCGGCTTCACCGCAACCTCTCGCCTCCGCAGGTTCTAGAGCAATTCTTCTGCCTCAACCTCCGAGGTGCTTGGGATTACATGGCAACTGCCACCACGCCCGGCTAATTTTTTTTTGTATTTTTAGTAGAGATGGTGTTTTGCACCATTTTGAGCGCTGGCTGTCTCGAACTCCGTCTGACCCTTGTGGACTGCCCAAACTGCCAGGCTTTGCAAGGAGTGCTGGGATTACAGGCGTGAGCCACCCACGCCCGCCTTATTTTTATTTTTATTTATTTTTTCCTTTTTGAGATTCTCGATCCAGGCTTCCGAGGGGGTGCAGTGCAGTGGCTCCATCACAGCTCTACTGTGCTCCGTGCAGCTCCCAGGCTCAATCAGTCTTCATGCTCCTCAGCCTATAAGTGAGCTTGTGACTGACAGGCGTGGGCCACCACGAGCTGGGCTAATTGTTTTCGTATTTTGTGTTGCGGAGGACGGAGTTTCATACCGGTGTTGTCAGGTTTGGTCTCTAGACTGCTGTTTGGGGGTCAAGCAGTGCCACCCACCTCAGCCTCCACAGAAGGACAGACATCAAGCCTCCACACCCGGCCTCTGTTTCTTTAATAGTTACATCGATTTATATTATTAAAAATTGAATTATAGGCGCAGGTGCGGCGTGGCCGCAGCCTGTAATCCCAGGCTTGGGACCAGAAAGCGGAGGACGTTCTTGAGCCAGAATGCAAGATCAGGTGGGCAACATAGCAGACGCCGGGGGCGAGTAACAAAGATAGGACATGATTTAGCCAGGCTTCAGATCACGAGGTCAGGAGATCAAGACCATCCTGGCTAACATGGTGAAACCCCATCTCTACTAAAAATACAAAAATTAACTGGGCCTGGTGGGACGTGCCTGTAATCCCAGCTACTCGGGAGGCTGAGGCAGGAGAATGGCGTGAACCAGGGAGTCTGGCAGTGAGCTGAGATCGTGCCGTTGCTCTCCAGCCTTGTGACAGCTAGTCTCCATCACACACAAAAATATAGGTATATATTAATTATATATAAATTAATTTCTCTTGTTTAAGATTCTTTTTTTTTTTTTTTTTTTGAGACAGGGCTGTTTAACCCAGGCTGGAGTGCAGTGGTGCAAACATGGCTCACTGCAGCCTCGACCTGGGCTCAAGTGATCCTCCCACCTCAGCCTCCTGAGTACCTGGGACTACAGGCACCCGCCACCACGCCTGGCTAACTTTTTTATTTTTTGGAGAGATGGGGTCTGTCTGGGCTGGTCTTGAATTCCTGGGTTTGAGTGATCCTCCCACCTTAGCCTCCCAAAGTGCTGGAATTACAGGCATGAGCCATCACGCCCAGCCTGAGATTCATTTTTACCTCAAGCTGGTCTTGCATTTCTGAAAATTCTGAGTAACTGTTGGCTTAGTCAGCACAGTAAGATGAGCTGTGATGACCCAGTCTGACATCTCAAACACTCAGGGCCCGTTTCTCTTACCAGACCTGCTCCTGGAAGGCACCTAGCCGCCTCCTCCTCTCAGAGGTAGCCAGAAGTGATTTATAAGCATATTTCCTGCAATATCCCTAATTCCTTCTGAGGTAAAATATTTGTTAAGGGAGAGAGAAAGAGGATTTGTTAAATTGTATTTTGAAAACTAGAATTAAAATAGTACTGTAAAATTGTACCTCATCTCGTCCATTAGGGGGCACCATTTCCTCACATTTTCTCATCTCTAAGGTCAGAAGTGATCCCTTTGTTTTGTCATTATAATAAGCTTTATTATAGTCACAGTACTAGTGCATAGTCAATAATTATAAAATACAGACAAAAAGAAGACTTTTTTTTTTTGAGAAGGAGTTTTGCTCTTGTTGCCCAGGCGGGAGTGCAATGGCCTGATCTCAGCTCATTGCAGCCTCCGCCTCCTGGGTTCAAGCGATTCTCCTGCTTCAGCCTCTTGAGTAGTTGGGATAACAGGTGCCCTCCACCACGCCTGGCTAATTTTTTTTTTTTTTTTTTTTTTTTTTAGTAAGAATGGGGTTTCGCCATGATGGTCAGGCTGGTCTTGAACTCCTGAGCTTAGGCAACCCACCCACCTCGGCCTCCCAAAGTGTTGGGATTACAGGCGTGAGCCACCGCGCGGGGCTTCATATTTCCCAGTCTTAACATTGAAGAGGAGAAAAGTGTGCCTGGCACGGCAGAGGGGATTGAGGGAAATCATTCCTGTGAAGTGCCTACAGTTGTTGCCTAAGAGACCCACACTAAATGCTGGCAGCCTTTCGCTTTTGCCCCCGCAACAGAAAGCCTGGAAATGAAGGAAAAACAGTCACCCAAGGGCCACCTAATAATCAAATATTATGAATTTTCACAAAATAAACATAGCCATGTCACCGCCACCCATATCAAGAAATAAACCATTTAAAAAAACTTCAGAAGGCCTTTCCTTGGTCTTCACTGTCACTACCTTCCCCCAGAGATAACCACAGTCCTGGCTTCTAACACAGGAGAATTGTGTTAGTGAAATCGTATCCTATGTCCTCTTGCGTCCGGCTTTTTTTGTGCCCCGTTCCGTCAGTAATGTTTATCCATGGTGGTGTGTGTTCATTCATTTTCGTTGCTGTATTTTGTTACATGAATTTGTCACAATCACATATACCCCGGGTCAGCAAACTTTTCTACAAAGGTCCAGGTAGTGAATATTCTAGGCTTTGCGGCTCTACAGTGTCTTTCACAACTGCCTAACGCCACTGTCGCTCAAGAGCAGCCGGAGGCAGGACGCACGTGAATGGGCGCGGCTGTGTTCCAATAAAACTTTATTGACAAAAAACAGGGGCTGGGCTAGATTTGCCAGTACCTTCCAACTACTGCTTTACTTTTTTAAAGCAAAGCTCATACCACGTGATTAAAGTTTTTGAGCTTTCATAAGTAGCTGTTAGAGCACATCATTTCCCTGGGAAAGAGGAATTCCAGGAAGTGGACTAACAGCTGGGCACTCTTTCTTCTTTATTGTAGTCCCTGGCGAACATAGACGAAGTCGTGAACAAAATTAGGCTGAAAATAAGGTAAGTAACATTGTGTGATTGTTCATCATTAATGAAAAGTATGTTGTTAATTTAGTTAATCACATTCTGGATCACATTTTTCTGTGAGAGCACTGGAATCTCAAGTTTGCCATAGATGATGATATAGTTCCTTTTTTAAATTTTCATTTATTTATTTATTTATTTTTGAGACGGATTTTTGCTCATTGCCCAGGCTGGAGTGCAGTGGTGCGATCTCGGCTCACTGCAACTTCCACCTCCCAGGTTCAAGTCATTGTCCTGCCTCAGCCTCCCGAGTAGCTGGGATTACACACCTGGCAAATTTTGTATTTTTAGTAGAGACGGGGTTTAACCATGTTGGTCAGGCTGGTCTTGAACTCCTGACCTCAAGTGATCCACCGGCCTTGGCCTCCCAAAGTGCTGGGATTACAGGCTGGAGCCGCTACACCTGGTCATATAATTCTTTTATCCGTATGAACTTTGTGGCAAGGAACTCAATTCTTGGCCAGTCTTCAATTCATACAAAAGGAAGGAAGCTGTGACAGAGTCTATTCAAAACAGCTTTTGTAATTATAGAAAGAGGCAAAAGCTTTTCTGATAGATTTTTTTTTTCTTTTTTTCAGTTTATTTTTATTTTTTGAAACAAAGTCTTACTCTGTGCCCCAGGCTGGAGTGCAGTGGTGCAGTTACAGCTCACTGCAGCCTTGAACTCCTGGGCTCAAGCGATCCTCCCACCTCAGCCTCCCAAGTAGCTGGGACTATAGGTGCACACCACCGCACTTCACTAATTTTTGTATTTTTTGTAGAGATGGGGTTTCGCCTTGTTGGCTAGGCTGTTCTCGAACTCCTGAGCTCAAGCGATCTGCCTGCCTCTGTCTCCCACATCTACTAGATTTTTTTTTTTTTTTTTTGAGATGGAGTCTGGCTCTGTCACCCAGGCTAGAGTACAGTGGTGTGATTTTGGCTCACTGTAATCTCTGCCTCTCAGGTTCAAGGAATTCGTAAGCCTCAGCCACCCAAGTAGCTGGAATTACAGGCATGCACCACTATGCCCAGCTAGTTTTTGTATTTGTAGTAGAGACAGTGTTTCACTGTGTTGGCCAGGCTGGTCTTGAACACCTGGCCTCAAGTGATCCATCCGCCTCCACCTCCCAAAGTGCTGGGATTACAGGTGTAAGCCATTCTGTCTGTCCTTCTACTGACTTTTTAATGGCTTTATTTCCCTGTTTTTATGGATTTACCTGTTTTTGTATTCCCAAGGCTTAGACATGAAGATGGGCTTACATGTGTATCCTTTGGTCACATTACAGCTAACAGATCTGCTGGTGGGTTCGGTTGTGACCCATGATTAAACATTGTGAACTGTGGGGGCAGAGGAGCTGGAAGCCGTCGACCTGCCTCAGACATAGATTGCATGATCAGGGCCTGGAGAGGGAAGCACTGATTCTGTCTATCGCCCTGGCTCTTTCTGCCTCATAAGGGGACTGAGAAAGGGATTGTGTGTGAGGTAATTTGAGTTCTCTGGCGTGTTCACATAAAGGTTTAGGAACTTTGTCATTCCTGATTTACACCATGAAAAATCCTGCAAGTTTTATTAGTCTTTTCAGACAGCTCTGACTGTGAAGTGAAAACAGCCATTTCTAACAACAAGGCGATGCGTCAGTCTGCGCTGGGCTTGGCCTCCCACACGGCTGTGGCTGCCCTCCTCCTTCCTGATGTCACTCACACATGTTTGGTTTTTGGGACGTTTAGGTGCAGTCTGCAGAAGTTGATGGATACATTACTCTTTTATTTTTTTCCTTTGGTCAGCCTAGAATAAAGAGTATTTGAATGACTGTATCCTTGAACTGTTTTGCTAGGAGACTGGATGACAATATTCGAACTGTTGTAAGAGGCCAGACGAACGTGGGGCAGGATGGACGGCAAGTAAGTAACTTACTCCTTCCTATTACCTGTGCTCCCCCAGTTTCTCCCGACAACCAGATGACCAAAACATCGACGTGCCTTCTCGCAATTCCCGCAGAGCACTTTCCAGTTGATCCGTTTCATACATGGCAGGACAGGGCAGGGCAGGCGCCCAGAGCAGCCACGTGCTGTCACTCAGTGTCCCTTGGACCAGGCCTGTGTACTGTGGCACCGCTCACTCGAGGCCAGACGAGAACACGGGAGCTTCTTTGTCTTTCTCCTTAGTGCTGGGTGTCTCTTGTGCCCTCTTTTGTTTTGTGGGTTGTGGCTAAAGGAGGTCGCTGCATTGGTCGGCTAAGTTGTTGGGGTTTTGCTATTACTCCTGGAACTGCAAACGATAGTAACCTGACGAGTTACGATTTCCTCGCACCTCACTGTGCCAGCAGGCAGGTAGCTCAAGATTCATTTCAAAATTTTAGAAGTTGGTTGGGCACAGTGGCTCACTTCTGTAATCCCAGCACTTTGGGAGGCTGAGGCAGGTGGATCACTTGAGGCCAGGAGTTTGAGATCAGCCTGGCCAACATGGCGAAACCCTGTCTCTACTAAAAATACAAAAATTAGCTGGGTGTGATGGTGCGCTCCTCTAATCCGGGCTACTCAGGAGGCTGGGGCATGAGTCACTTGAACCCGGGAGCCAGAGGTGGCAGTGAGCCGAGATCGAACCACTGCACTCCAGCCCAGACGACAGGGGTGAGACTGTCTCAAAAAAAAAAAAAAAGTTTTGGAAGTCTATTGGATCTGGTTGAGGAGGCTGTTGGAGGGAATAGGGAAAAGTGTGTGTGGGGGGAGGTACTCTTTAATACTTGAGGGGCCAGATGCTACCTGTGAACCATTTCCCTTTTCATTCGATTCTGTTCTTCTGTTGAGGTGTTGCATTTCAGAACGGCTGTCTGAATGGAAGTGCTGAGCGTGCCTTTCTAGCCGTCCTCTCTCGCCTAAGGGAGGACGTCCTGTCCTCCCTTCTCAGCACTAACTCAGGTCAGGACTGTACCTTTGCAGTCACTTCAGTGCTGTGCTTTCTCCTCTTGGACATTTTTTAGGACAGCTAATTTCTACAAATGTCCATCCTGCTGCCCAGATTTGGAGTGGGAGGAGGATAATCCTGTGCTGAGATTTCCAGATCTCCGATAATTCTGTTTCCTCTGCTAGTCGTTTACAGATGTTAGGAGTCTCTTTCTTTTACATCTGTAGTTTTCCCGTCTGTCTGTTTTTGCTACATTATATCACTTTTTTTTCCCCTTCATAGTCACTTTCCATGTGATAGCCAGTTTCCTTTGGCCTGTTTGTGAGTAGTTGGCCTTCTTGTCATCTTCAGAATTTGTGTGTAGTCACATTGGGTTCCTAGAAGTGTTCCTGTTTTCTGGACTCTTGCATGGTTTTCAGTCCTCGTTCCCTCGTCTTGTCTGTCGAGGTCTTGTTCCCTTGTGTTTTCTGTATTACATGAAGCAGGGTTTCTTCGGCAGATGAGGCCTGTGTAAATGGGACCTGCAGAGGGGTCCTGCAGAGGGACCGGGTGGCCTCAAGCCCTCCAGCTGCACTCTGCTGCTTAGCTGTCCTAGTCTGTGTTTGGTTGTAGTGTCTGCCTCTTCAGACACCGCGTTAGCTCTGACCACCAAATGAAATCCAAGGCCAGGCATGGTGGCCCACACCTGCAGTCCTCACACTTTGGGAGGCAGAGGCGGGGAGATCACTTGAGCCTAGGAGTTCAAGGCCATCCTGGGCAACATGACAAAACTCCGTCTCTACAAAAAGTACAAAATTAGCTGGGCATGGTGGTGGCCTGTGCCTGTAGCCAGCTACTGAGGAGGCTGAGACAGGAAGATCAGCTGAGCCAGGGAGTTCGAGGCTGCAATGAGCCATGATCACACCACCGCACTCCAGCCTGGGAAACAGAGTGAGACTCTGTTTAAAAAAATAATAATAATAAAAAAAGAAAGAAAGAAAAAAATTCAAATTCCGTTGCTTGGCATTCAAAATTCTGGTCTCCGTTTCCAGTTTTGCCTCCTGTTGTATTCTCTCTGCTCCGAAGACTTTGTGCTCCACGAGCACGCCTGTGCTTTCTGGGCCTGTGCTTATAGACTCTTTTGTGCTTGAAATGCTTTTCCTTCTATCTCTTTCAGCAGCTGCATTTCCCAGTCTTACCCATCCAAGGGCCAGCTCGGATACTAGTTTCTTGACAACGTTTTCTGTCGACTTCATCTGAATACATTAAGGAATCAGAATTTTGAATTAGAAAGGATTTAAAACTCATCTGGGCCACTCCCCTCATTTTACAGAAGAGAAAATAGATTCTAGTGTCACTTGATATCCTTTCTCCATAAATCCCACAGCCCTATTCTTGTACATTTCATTTGGCTTTTGGGGTCTCCCTTGACTTACTAGAGAACAAATCTCATCCCTTTGATGTTTATAAGCTCCTGGAAGGTAAGAACTGTGTCTTTGTCATCTTTGTATTTCACTACACATAGGCCACGTGCAATAACATTTTATTCAGCTGAGCTGGGCACAATGGCTCTTGCTTGTAATCCCAACACTTCGGGATGCCTAGGCAGGAGGATGACTTGAGGCCAGGAGTTTGAGACCAGCCTGGGCAACATAGCAATACTCGTCTCCGCAGAAAGGTAAAAGAATTAGCTGGATATGGTGGTACAAGCTTCAGTGAGCTGTAATGGTGCCGCTGCACTCCAGCCCGGGTGGCAGAGTGAGAACCCATCTCCAAAAACAACAGCAACCCCCCCCCGCAACATTTTATGCAAGTATATTGGATATTTTGTCTAAGATTGTTTATTAATTATAAATAAACAAAAACGTTTTATCATAAAAACATCATTTTGATGAGCAAGTGGGTGTTCCTTAAAAGTGATTTAAAACTGGCTTTGTGCGTGAAGAGTCCCCACTTGCTACTGTTGGGAATAGTCACACTACTTGTTCAGTGTGGTTGAGCTTACATTTAGAATGGCTCACTAGAAGTCTTAAAATACAGGAGTCATAGATGTTTAAAATTTCAAGAATGTGAAAGTAGCGAGTGATTCATCAGCATTTTTTGTTGGGTCATGCTGTGTATAATAGATGTATATCTTTTAGTTATTTATGTTTCATCCTGTGGTTCTGGACTCTTGCAAGCTAACAGTATTGCAGAGTCAGACCCGAATTACACAGTCGGCGGAATGTCGCGTTCTCCCCCGTCCCGTGTTGATGGGTTGCAGGCTGCCGCGGCAGAGCAGGTCGTATTTCAGAGAGCAGGACCACATTTCCAAGAATGTTTAGATAGCATTTCAATCTGTGATGGAATTTTGTATTCGTCTCCTTAGAATCCAGACAGAAAGGAAGCCCAGAAGAAATAATTGCTTTTCCTGTCATGCCCCCATCTGTCTTTTCCAGCAGTTTGTAATGCATACTGAAGTGGAAGCTTTTTTTTTTTTTCCAAGGAGCTCTTGGGTCCTGTCCTTGTCAGCTCCTAGGGATGAACGCCTTGGTCTCCAGCCCTGGCTGGCTGGTTTGCTAAAAGGAGTCTGTTTGACTGGCGCAGACTTGGTGGAATTATGGATGTTCCAACATACTGAGTTTTATAGGTCAAGAGGCCCCATGTTCCCCTGTTCCCTGGAACAGAAGAGAAGTTTGCTTTCAGCACTTGCTTCCTAAGCTTCTGAAGAACACTCAGAAGGGAGTGGCAACATGTACAAAAGGAGGTTTTCCTCTTATACATTTAATCTTGATTGTGTTTAACCAGAACTGATGTGCTGCTTTTTAATTTATATCTATTATTATTATTATTTTAGGGACAGGGTCCTGCCCTGTTGCTCAGGCTGGAGTGCAATCATTGTTCACGGTAACCTTGAACTCCTGGGCCCAAGTGATTCTCCCACCTCAGCCTCCGAAGTAGCTGGGACTACAGGCCTGCGCCACCACACACAGCTATTTTTTATTTTTTAGTTTTGGTAGAGATGGGTTCCTGCTGTGTTGCCCAGGCTGGTCTTGAACTCCTGGCCTGAAGTGATCCTCCTGCCTCGGCCTCCCAAAATGCTGAGATTATAGGCATGAGCCACTATGCCCAGCCTAGATTGCTTTTTGCTTCTTTATTTTTTTTTTGAGACAGAGTCTTCCTCTGTCACCCAGGGTATAGTATAGTGGTGTGATCTCGGGTCACTGCAACCTCCGCCTCCTGGGTTCAAGCGATTCTCCTGCCTCAGCCTCCTGAGTAGCTGGGATTACAGGCGCACACCACCACACCCGGCTAATTTTTGTATTTTTAGTAGAGACGGGGTTTCACCATGTTGGTCAGGCTGGTCTCAAACTCCTGACCTCATGGTCCGCCCACCTTGGCCTCCCAAAGTGCTGGGATTACAGGTGCATGCCACTATGCCCAGCTAATTTTTGCATTTTTAGTAGAGACAAGGTTTCACCATATTGGTCAGGCTGGTCTCAAACTCCTGACCTCATGGTCCACCCGCCTCAGCCTCCCAAAGAGCTGGGTACAGGCGTGAGCCACCACGCCCAGCTAGATGTGCTTCTTAATCTGTAAATAAGGGGAAAGTGTTTACTTCACGTTCATGGTGTCTTAATTGACATTTTTAGCAGAAAAGTTCCTTTTGAAAAGCAATGTTTTTGACTCAAAAATTATTTGGGGGTAAGGAATGATTTAAATATTGAAGACATAATTAGGTCATTTCTTGAGCTTCTTGAAGTTTCTGAAATACCAGCCGCTTGGATAAATTCTGCTAAACATTTGGAGAGTCTTTGGTTTTTGACCGCCTCCTATGTGGGCCGGCTTGAACTGGTCTAGTCTGTAACCTCTGCTAACCGGATGATGATGCTCTTACAAAGTTTATATGGCACTGAATCTTTCCCATTTTTATCTGTTGAAATCATCAGTCAAAAGCTTTAATTAAATGCCCACATGTTTGAAACTTTGTGGATGAGTCAGTTCAACAAGTACGTGATGTGATATGCTATGAAATTTA